AATGCGCCATAAATACTGCAGATGTTTGCAGTTCTTTGTCTGTAGGACACCACAACTTGTTAGAAATAATCTGTTGTGGGACTGCACTACTTTGTAAAACCACCAGGTCGAGCAGTGAAAGCTTCACGTGATGTGTGGAGCATTTGGGCTGTCGCCAGAAAACACCAAGTTTTGAATCATGGTCAATGCTGAGGGACCTGATATACACACAGTAGATTTACCTTATTCATAAATATTTTATGCATCAAAGTTTTAACTTGGTAACTTACAGTGGGTTATGGTTTTAATGTGCTTGTTGTAACAATATAAAGTTTATATACTGTACTCCATAAAAAGTTATAATGTTTCATCTTTTTCCAAGAATACGTAGTAAGAACACCACTTCTTGTTATTGTAATATTGTAAAAAAAAAGTTGTATTGATTTAATACCACTTCATAGTAATATTAATATGGAATCGTGTAACCAAGCAGCTAAAATATCACAAGTGGATGTTCTGGAAACATTCTGACATTCATTTTGAAAAAAAACATTTATTTTGTAATGGACAAATGGAACGCTCATGGACTGTAATGTAGCGCGCAGCACCGAAGTGGTTGAAAGTCCAATCAGAGCATTACTTTTGGTTTGTTTTTTACATAGCCAAATATATTAAAATAGTCCACTATTTATAGCTTGCTGTGAACGCAATGTGCCTCTTTCAGGTTTACATCTGAGTTAAGAAAATTGTTATTTTGTCTTAATCCACCCAGTAATCAGCCAACAATTTAACTTTAAATTTAAGACTTCAATGTATATTATATACTGTACAGTACTGCGGATTCCAAAGACTTACTCAGAGGTTGTTTCTGGCAAAATTGGCTCCTGAGTGCGTGTATCTGGATGAATTATTATAAGCGATGGTTTTGTGAATAAGGAGGGACGAAGTATTATTTTTACAACTGCCAGCAACCGGAGAACATCTTATCAATGTGTTAAAAACATACCATGACACTGAAGACAGATGTGTCACACCTTTTAGTGAGCCAGCGACTGTTGTTTACGATGTTGTGACGATGTTGTGGGGCTCTGCGGGAATTATTATGTAAACTGAAGAGTTATAGAGGAGACAGATTGTGTGTCCTCTCTCTCAATATTTGTAAAAACATTCCAATTTTAATGCAATACAGAATATACTATTAATAATATTAATAATTAATGACCATGGACGAGCTGTAAACTGAAGAGTTAGAGAAGACATGTTGAGCCTTGTCTTTTCAGCTTAGAATTAACCTTTAGAGCAATCCTTTTGGCTGTATTTTATATATAGCAGGACGTGTAAAAATAGTTTGTTTTTATAGCGTGTTGCGAACGCAATGTGCCTCTTTCAGGTTTACATCCGCATTAAGAAAATCTATATTTTGTGTTAATACAAATTTCAGCAATGAGAAATTTAACTTAAAATTTTGATTAAGAAAAATATTAAACATATACTTTACTGGCTTTGAAATCATACGGTGTCATACTGTATATAAAGTATACGAACACACCGCCGTTCACTGCCCTGTGCGCTATTGTTTCGGTCTAATTGTGTACCTGACTTCGTGATATTCGCTTGTGCAGGAGGTGAGACCCGGCGGGGGCGGGGAGTGGGGTTGTTTTGATTATACTATGAATGAGTCCCTGAGGCATATCGTCCAGGTTTCAGAATTAAAAAAAATACATCTTCAATGAGTTTGCACGAGAGAAAAGGGGACCTTTTTAGAAATCATGTACTGCACAAAGTAGGTGAATTTGACAGTTAATGTTGCTTAAAGAATTTAAAATCTATCTGACTGTTCTGTAGCTCTCATGCAATTGAACAGAAAGTCACCTTGCTGTCACAAGTGGCTCTGTTAGTTTGTGTTAACACACTGCAGCCTTTTGAATGTTTTTTTATCATCTTTATCACCTTTGTCTGTCTGTGGAGTGGTGGTTGTATCCTTTCCTCAGTTTAACAGCTGATACGTCCCCAGTAAACCAAGAGACTAAAGCCAACTAGCAATAAATCATCTGCCTTGCAACATTTCTCAAAGTGTTCCAAAGTCAAGTGTAGAGTAAACAGAAAGCCACGATGGACACCACAATTACCCGTAATACCTGTGATATAAATGACCACTACAGACTAAAACAACCCCAAATGCAGCATGCGTGAACCAAGGGAAAAAAATGGGCTCCACACAACAAATCAAAGATCCTGAACAAACCCCCAAAAATACTACATCCCCAATATAGTTGCGGCAAGGTGAAAGTGGGAAGCTGATTTTTTAAACATTTTTATAGAAAATCAAAAATAAGAAACAATGACATGTACCTGCCTAACAGACATTGCATGAGTTTAAAAGCTATAAAAAACATGAAAAGTGGTATTTAAACTAGGAATTACTTGGCTAAAGCTTCATCATTGACTATTGGGAAAGTGTACTGATGGAGAGCGAAATTACAGCTCACTTCCCTTCCCCCCTACTGCGAGGTGATAATGCGCTGGCTGGCATGAAACAATCCCTCCTTTCCAAGTATCCTGGAGATGGTCTGGAGGTTCATTCATTCTTGTTATTACTAAACAACCTGCCGATCTGCTTCACACCACAGGGAGAGGGGGGAATGTGTTTTTTTTGTGCACGAAACGTGTGTTGCGTTTACAAAATTAAAGTGTTTTAAACGTTTATTTAAAAAGTAAACAAAAACTTACATCTTACACAAAGATTCTGATCACGAGGAAGAAAAATCACCCATTTTTTATTGCTTTTAAAGTCATGCAATGTCTAATTTAGGCTGGGACAAGTTATTGTTTCTTATTTTTGATTTTCTTTAAAAATTAAAAGAATCAGTTGCCCATCGTGCCATACAATTATATGTTACATACTTTTACGTTTTTGAGAGACTTCAGAACACTTAAACTTATGCATAAAAAATGTAACAATGCATTCTTGCATTATGAATTCGCTTACACCTGGGATCTACTTTATTCAAACTAAGGTCTCTTAAAATGCAACCAAGTACTAGATATTGTTTAAATAAAAGCTGTGAAAATGTTCACAAATCGCGATCTTTAAAATGCCTGTAGTTTGAAGGCTTTGTGTCAAATTTTCACAACGTTATTGACATCTGAAACATCGTATCTCATATACATTATTATAGTTGCAGTGGTCTTTTTAATACCACTTTGTTATTCTTAACTACAATTATAATACATACAATTTCATTTTAAGGCTTGATGTAAAGTCTTGTGTGATATTGCCCCCACTGAATAAAGTATTTTGAATTGAATAAAATCGGTAGAACTGGATTTTACTCCCACTACTGACAGTATTCACATTTGCTTATTCATTATTAATATAATTTAACATTGAATATGTTGTGTAATATAAAAAACAATAAATAATTGTTAATATAGTGTACATAATATTTACTATTTTATTTTTAAAAAAGGAGTATTTGTGCCCTAAGCGGGAATTGAACTTGGATCTCCTAGCCCTATTGACAAACCCACTGCACCAAGGGGCCGTTCGGAAAGTGAACTACAGTAATACTACCAGCTATATAAATATATTACATTAAGATCCTTAAATTAATATTGTTATTAATCTCTTTAGTTATGCAACGCCATATTATATTCCCTATTTAGCGAATTCTAAAAAGTTCACATTTACTGAAATAATAACAGCACGTATTCATAGAAAATGTTAAAACATTATAGCTTTTTACAAAGTATATAAACTTAATATAGTCAGAATGAGCACGTCAAAACCTTTCCAAAATAACCACAATTAGTGAATGACTTTGATGCGTAAAATGTTTATGAAGTGGAATACTGTACTTTTTATTTAAGCTTACACTACCAGCCATATACATTATATATAATATATTTATATCCCTAAATTAATATAATTTATGACGATATGATGTTGTGCTTCTGTTACTTTTATGCTCAGCTACCAAAATTTCCCCTTGATTGTCAAATTACATATTTAGCAGATTTAAACATGCACAGTAGAGAGATTAAATGAAGCAAGATTTTCACTAACAACTAACACACCACACATGCCACCTGTGGATCATCTTTGGCCAGCGAATTAAGTACCACGGCTGCCTGTAAATCAAAACCTGTGGTATAGGGTTTTACCACGCATTTTGAATGGTTACATCTGTAAAATCTCCATTTATCATGTTATTCTTACAGTTTACTGTTTTGTTTTTGGTTTGTTCATAGTCTTGTCCTGGGCTTTCCTGATCAGAGCAAAATTGGCCTGTTGTGAGCTCTGTTTATCCCAATTACCCATATTAAATATTCCTGTGCTACTGTGTCACCAAAAGCAGCTTGATCCACTTATCCCACCCACCCCACAGAAGTGCTCAGTCAGTTGCACATCACTGCTTGGGGAATACCCAGCAGTAAACTAGTGACATGACCCAGGTTCAACCCTGTGATCAGAAACTCGGGCATCTACTATATACCAGCAAGCAACACACACAAGGCAGGGTACACCTTGGACAGGACACCAGTCCATCACAGGGCAGACACACAAACACAGAGAGTCAATTTCTTCCAGAAGCCAACTAACCTCCCAGTATGTATTTGGACTGTGGGAGAAAACCAGAGAAACCCAGATCCAGAATTGAAACTGGAGGCCCAGTGCTGCGAATCAGCAATGCTAACCATATATAGATATTACAGTACAATTAAAGTTATAGCAAAGACATGAACAGGAAATGACAACATCAGTTTTTCTCCAAAACAAGTATTGTAATCAAATAAAAAAAAACCTCCCTCCCCCCATTATCTTAATAAAATTAATATATAGTATAGTTGCAGATCCAGACAATAATGATAGTCATAAACATTTTTTCAATAGATTGATCTCTGGTAATGTATAAACAGAAAATTTGTAAGCCCCATTTACACTCCTTAGGAAGTGTATTAATAAACACTTTACAAGACAAAGGCATCAGCACACAGTACACAAATTTGGAATTTATCACCTTCAGTATGTCCGTTTTCAGCTGCAGCTCTGTACATGGTGCTGAATGCATTAATCCTAAAAGAGTGCCCATGTCGTCATCTCCACTGGGGGACAGCACCAGCTGCTGGATGATCATCAGAGCATGCTCTCGGCACTGGGGGTATTTTACTATATTATGGACACACCTGGCACCTCCAAACTCCCGAAAAACACCTAAAACAAAAGACCAAAGATATGGTCTATCAAATAGCACTTAGTATTCACAGCTAAATTTAGATAATAGCAATTCTAATTTCCTTACTTGTGCTGTAATGTAGTATTATGTACAAAACATGATGAAAGTTAACCTGAATCATTAAGCACAAATTTAAGCTTATTAAATTAAGTTTGTGAAAGTACTGTATGGTTGCAATCTTGTCACAAAATGCTGGTCACAGGCAAGAGCAGTTCACAAGAATTCACAAGAATTTTGACACAAGAAAACTGGACTTTTCTGCTTACTAATCACTGTAATGACTAATGTAATGTGATGTACTTCCTAAGTGAATAAGTACAGGTTGTTAAGCAGACATTTCACCACAGAAATGTTCCATCGTGATCTGCATGCAGCATTAACAAATAAGTAGTATTTGTCAGCAAAACTATCTCAAAATCAATATACTGAATTTAATTCAGTTGCACTTATTCAAATAGGCAGTCTAGATAAAGTTTCTAAAACATGTCACCTTCTAAGTGTCTGTTTTATAACATTATATGCTGTATAAATTAATACACTAGCAAACTTTGCTTGGTCTAAAGTATGTACATTAATACAACAATAAAATATTGTTTTCAAATACTGTTCATTTGGATGTGTCTGTTGAAATTTTCTCTGATTTGGATTTCACATGATTATGAAGCCTGACAGTACATAATATGAAATATATTAACACTTCAGATACTGGGCCAAAACTTGTGCTCAAACCAGGTGCCATTCCTACCCTTTTTTCTCATAAAAAGTAATTGATGAAAAGAGAGTGTATTGAGAGGGTGATATCAGTGCTTGATAGAAAAATAGACAAAAAATTATCTTTGTGATTTAAGAGATCTTTTAATCATAATT